GGGAGATTTCACTTGTCATGTTTGCATAGTAAGCTAACGATTAATAAGACGATGTCAGAGGAATTGGTGCGCAAATTATCATCACTCACAGATCAGTGCTGTCGCTCTCTATACACAGTTGCACGATTGCAAAGTGAAAGCAAAAAACAAGCGCAAATTCAAACGTGATTTCAATATGTCACATATTGACAGTGGCTCATCGATGCCAATGACATAATTACCCAGCTACATTTCCGAAAGAATGCAAAAGCATTGACATTGTAGCGGGTCAGGGCTGTTCGGGGTTCTGTTTGTACAGTTACGTTTTGTGTATGTTGCCATGGTGACGGGTGATGCCCTCTCGCTGCGACAGTGTGTCCTTCCGGGGTCAGAGGGCGCCCTGTGTGTTGTTGTTGCTGTGCGGTTGCCGCGCTGAGCAGTTAGCTAGCGGCAGTGTTCTTCTGCAGATGTCAATAAACGGCTGTGCTCCCTGGCTAGCTCACGGGAAGCAAGACCAAACCATACCTCCGTCTCCTCCTTGTCTGAGCTCGCCACAATATATTTTTCCTTCCTACAATAGCCCGACGGGCAGGGCAGAGAGATTTTGGTAGCCCGACTGGAAAAATCGCTAGCCCCGGGATGTCGGGCTAGCGATTTTGCAAGCCCTGGAATAGTTCTCCAGGCTTTGTGAAAGACATTTAAAGCTCTTCTTTGGATGTTAGCTGCCTCTTGTTCTGTTCTCTGTCAGAATGATCTCAAACAAATTAAGTTGTTGCCAGTCAGATGCTTTTCAGATGGTATTGCATGATGGTTCTTTCCTGTGTTTGTAATTCAAAGAATTGGACAATAACACAGTCCTAATCCATAACAGAGCCTCTGCTGTTTTACAGATGGCTGTAGACACTCTCTGTTGTACCTCTGTCCTGTCCTTTCCATACATATTAAAATGAATCTGAACCAGAAAAACGTTCAAATTGGGATTAATCACTTCATCTGACCTGTTGTCACTGATTTTCAGTTCTTTTGCAATTTGCCGTACTTCAACCTTTTCTCCCCATTCCCCTTCCTTAATAATAGCTTCTTGACAGCCACACTTCCACTGAGACCATTTCTGATGAGGCTTCAGTGAACAGTAAATAGGATGCATCTCTCAGGTCCCGTGTCAGGTCTTTGCAGGATTATCTCCGACTTCTTGAGGTCATGACTTTCAGATAGAGTTCGTCTGCTGTAGATAGTTTTTAGGCCTGCCACTTCTTCTTTTGTCCTCCACTTGCCCAATTTACTTAAGTGTTTTAAGGACACACTGCACACCATGCTGATATGGCAGGTTTTCAAAAGAAATGGGAACATGTGTTGACATGTTTTTACTCACAACAAAGTGCCTAAAGATACTATTTAAAATTGGTTCCTTGCTAAGGTGTCTGTTATTTGTGGACACAACACGGCATCATTTCTTGAGTTAGTCACCTTTTTGATCCTTGAACAGTTCACAGGTCAATTTGTTATGTTTCAACAAGAACAGGTATTTTAATGCTGCTATATAAAAATACATTTCCAGGAGATCTAAAATTATTACATGGATTATGCTTATAAAATGTGCTCATGGTTTTGGTTTAACCCTGTAAGATCAAGCCTGCACGAGGGTTGATCTTAGCAGGCCACGTCACCGGGTGACTATTCTTGTATGAAGAACAGCAGATGTTTTTTTTGTCCCATTGCTGCAGGTGTATAAAATCAAGCATCTAACCATGCATTGTAAATAGCTCACCAACTTTACACTAACTGTAACAGGATGCCACCATTGCAAAAAGTCAGTTTGTGAAATTCCCTCCACAATCTACTGCAAGTTATATTATTGCAAAGTGGAACCACTGCAAGGCAGCCACAAAGTGTCACACCAGGTAAAGTTACAGAGCATGGTCGGCGAGTCCTGATGCCCACAGCACGTAAAAATCATCAGTAACTGCAGTGCTCCAAACATGAGCATTAATGCAAAAAGCATCAAGAGCTGTTTGGGTTAACATTGTAGTGCTGTAATTGTAATGTGTAGGTGATTCAGTTCATTTTGTTATACAGCCCCAGAAACGTGGATGCGTATTAAGAAAAGGTGCATGATTTGTAGGACTCACTTTGACAATTTAAATGTGTTTCTACCCTTTACACAACATTTTCAGAGTCCTCCTCTGGTCTTTCAGCCATATTGCTGTCCAAAAAACAAACAACACTTTCCACACTTTGGTGGACAATCGTATGACCCCCTATGAATAAGCAGTTGGCGACAGTGGAAAGGAAAAACTTCCTTTTATCAGGAAGAAACCTCCAGGAGAATCAGGCTCAGGAAGGGGCAGCCATCTACCCCGACTGGTTGGGGGTGCGGGGAGGAAGACAATAAAAATCTTCATACAGCCTGGATCCTTTAAATTTTAGACTTATTATGTTACTCTAACTGAATCTTCACAAATGAGCTCATGCCTCCCCCTCTCTCCGTGTAGGAAGGTGGAGCAGCGCTTCCACATGTGTGACAGAATGGCCATCTACTTCTTCATCGCAGCCTCCTACTCTCCATGGTGGGTCATGTGACTACAGCAAAAAAATAAATAAAATAAAGACCAGAGCGAACACACTGTAACTGTGTAGGTGCGATGTCGTGTTTCCTCAGGTTGATGCTGAGGGAGCTGGGACCCTGGACGTGCCACATGCGCTGGCTCATCTGGGTCATGGCGTGTATAGGATCGGCGTATGTCTGCTTTTTCCATGAGAGGTAACACAGCCTCCGTTTGTACTGTGTGCACTAATTTGACACAGTTAACCTGAAGCCAAACGCCTCCATTCAAGTGTTGACAGAAAACACAAGACTGCTGTTTGGAGCACAAATAATTAGGCAGGAAAATGGAGGTATTGTTATTTTTATTATGACTTCACGGTCCAGTTTTCTACCTGCAGGTACAAGCTGATCGAGTTGCTGGGATACGTGGCCATGGGGGCTGTTCCTGCTTTGGTCATTCTCTCTATGGTAAGTCTACATCACATAGATGAGTCTTTCTCAGCGTCTGCCACTCCCCTTCCCCCCTGCAGACTTCCTTCCACTACCGTTACTATTTAAAGAACCAAACCGCGGCTTTTGTTTGAGTGCCCCATAACCCACAGATGCGTCTAATTGCTGGTAATAGAACTGCTGACTATTTTCCAATGCATAAGTCTTACATTGACTTCCCCTGTTGCACTGAATCACTGATTTCCATTTGATTATGCTCTTGATTTCAACTTATAGAAGCCTGAAATTGTCACTTTGAGGGTAAGACAGTCAACACCTACTGAAGTAGCTGCCACGTTCACTTACAGCCCGAGCCGTTATGGAGTGATTTTTTTTTCATGTCCCCCTGAAGATAAAGGTAGTAACGTAGCTCATTCTCTGGCTCCATAAATCACGCTGTGTTTTAGTTTCATGTCTGAGAAATTGTATTTCTTGACATCTCTTTTATTAAAGGGAAAAGCTGGCATAAATCTTATAGTCATATTTTATAAAAAGGCCTTAAACAATGTGCTCAGAACCTGAATCTGATTCCTTTGGGTTTCTTTTACCCACATGGAGCTCCAGGCCCTTATTTTTCGTAGCAGTTCATAGTTATGGTGCAATTTTCTAATGTCTATTTGAAAATTCATGCTCCAGATTTCAGTGCATAAAAACACATGAAGGACAGAAGAAACAGAAATCATTTAGGCCAGGCAGGGCATGACTTGATATACAGTATACTCCCAAAGGTATTCACTCACCCATGCAAATCACTGAATTTAGGTTTTCTAATCACTTTCATGGTCACAGGTGTATAAAACCTGGCATCTAGGCATGCAGACTGCTTCTAAAGATGTCAGGAAATCAGCGAATTCCAGCATGGTACTGTGATAGTCCAGCCCAGTCATGAAATTTTCTCACTACTAAATATTCCACAATCAGCTGTTAGTGGTATTATAACAAAACGGAAGCGACAGGAAACGACACCAACGCACAAATTCCAACATGCACCTCAAAATCACGTGTTATTACAATGTAAGGATAAGTGGTTAGGATAGTCCGTGATACAGCCTGGGCCCTTAATAAGTCAACGTAACAAACCTTGTTGGTCTGATCTTCTAAAATAACCAAAAACTACTCATTACTCAGTATAATTTGTTGCTTCTTTCTTTTAAAGCTTTGTTATCATGCTGTACCTACAGGTAAGGAATTTTAGGTATATAAAGTTACACTCTAACCTGTGAAAAAGTCCTTGGTAAATGTTGGAAAACTACACCAAGTATTGGGCTGTTCGATGAAGTGCTACTCCGTCTTTTATGGAGTGGGCATGTAAAACGGCATTTCTCAAAAATTTGGGAAACCTCTTTTAAATAAGAGTATTTCTTATTTCAGATGAATTCAACCAAAAACTGGATACATCTTTAGCAAACAAATATACAGTTAAATAAAGCATCTTTAAATTAAATACCAGCAAACTTTCCTATGTTCCAGGTGGAGCGCACAGGTGTGTGTGAACTGGCCGTGGGAGGTGTCTTCTATGGAGTAGGCGTGGTCTTCTTTAAGAGCGATGGCCTTGTGCCATTCGCCCATGCGATCTGGCATCTATTTGTGGCCGTTGGAGCAGGCATTCACTATTACGCCATCTGGAGGTACCTGTATTTACCGGGGACACAGCTGCAGACGTCGAGGTGACCGGCTGCATACTGACGTTAAGCGTTTCCATGCCGACAGGCTGAATGACAAAAGTGCATTTCATGTAGTTAGGACGTTAGTGTTTTGACTACGGTAAGCTTCACTTACGAAGCTGGGCCACCGGGGACCAATTTTTGTACTGTGTGCTGACTATATAACATCTAGCCTCACTACACCAAATTGACGCTAATTTATAATGTCTAATTCTGCTCTTTTAGACGTAATTAGCGACACTGACACTGGTTTGCGTGCCATGTTGACTGTCTGTAGTGTTTCAGACGAGATCCGAGTGCCAGGCCTGCATTATGAAATCTTCCTTCCTGCTTATCTCCGCCAGTTAGAGGAATAGTTTCTAATTTTGGGAAATGTGTTTATTTTCTATCAGAGGTAGATGAGAAGATTGATAACAATCTATAATGTTTGTGGTAACCACGGTACTGTGCACAGACATGTTCAGATCTACAGATTCTACATCGCGCCATCAGAGAGACATTTGATCACGTCAACAATCTGACCCCTCAAAGAGCCCTGATCCCAGACAGACATCATGGAATCAGTTTGGGATCACATGAACAGAAGCAACAGCTTCAGGTTATATTTCACCATGTTTCAAACATCCTCAGTGACGGGCATCCTGAAAAACACGGTTCAAGTGCAATGAAGGAGAACGGGTGCAAATTCAGACCTGAAAATAATGCTCAGTGTTTTGTTACGGCTTGCGGTTGAGCGTTGAGGTTGGACAGCGGTGTGCATTGGTGCGTCACAGCCTGCTCGGAGGTTTGCTTTTGCCTGGGGGGTGTTGGAGGTGTTGCCCCATCACTTGTAAACCCTGCCAAATTATTTAAAGCATTTCATTCCTATTATAAAAAATAGACATCTATTTTGCACGGTGGCACGGCGGTTAGCACTGTTGCCGCACAGCAAGAAGGTTCTGAGTTCAATTCCACCATCAGGCCGGGGTCTTTCTGTGTGGAGTTTGCATGTTCTCCCCGTGTTTGCGTGGGTTCCCTCCGGGTACTCTGGCTTCCTCCCACCGTCCAAAGACATGCAGCTTGTGGGGATAGGTTAATTGGATAATCCAAATTGTCACTAGGTGTGAATGTGAGTGTGAATGGTTGTCTGTCCCTGTGTGTTGGCCCTGCGACAGACTGGCGACCTGTCCAGGGTGTACCCCGCCTCTCGCCCTATGACAGCTGGGATAGGCTCCAGCGCCCCTGAAAAGGAAAAAGCGGAAGCGAATAGATGGATGGATCTTTTGATGGGCTCTTACCGGCAAATCAGTAAGCAATCAGGAGATACGACTCCATTGCTACACAAGCACTCACAGTACACTTAGCTTTAAACCCCTGCACACCACTCAGGTTTCTTGACTCATTGTTGCTGATGCTGTTGCACTGACAGACATTTACTTCCTAAAATACACTGTTATAAAAAAAGAAACACTTTTTAATCAGATTATAGCATCAAGTCAATTAAACCTCTGGGGCATTGATCTGGTTAGGGTTACCACTGACACCGTGTGCCTTTCACACAGATTCACCCACGTGACACAGATGAAAAGGCCTGAAGCAGCAGAGGAAAACATTATACTGCCAGTAACATTGTCCAGCATGACTGATTTGGTGGTAGATCAGACATAGTCTGGGGAGCCATATCCTCTACAGGCAACGGCACCATGACTGCCATTTGGTGTTGGGATGAAACCTTCGGACCCCACAGACCCTACAATGGTGCAGTGTGTACTGGGTTCCTCCTGCTGCATGACAATGCCTGGCCTCATGTAGTAAGAGTATGCAGGCAGTTTCTTGGAGGATGAAAGACTTGATACTACTGACTGCCCGCAATGCTCACCAAATCCAACAGAACACCTCTGGGACATCGTGTTTCAGTCCATCCGACGCTACCAGGCTGCACCTCAGATTGTCCAGGAGCTCAGTGATGTCGTGGTCCAGATAAAGATTTCAGGGTATCTTTGAATTCAGCCCTCTGTAGGTTGATCATTTTAATTTCCTTCAAACGATGTGTCATCTTTTGGTTCCTCATTACCCGTTCCATATGGTTTTCTTTCCCACTGAGATATTTTGTGTATTTTAAAGTGTTCCTTTTGTCCACACCAGCTGCTCAACTGTTGGTCACGACTATTCTGGGCATTATTTTACAAGCATGAGGTTACTGGAAAATCAATAAAGAAACCAGAGTATCACTATTTTTATGCCAGACTAGTAAAACTGTAAGAGTCTTATCGATCTTCTCGTCTTTACAAGAATATATATGCACTTTCCCAAAATAATGAAGCTTTCCTTACAGGCATATCTGTTACTGAGCATTCCTAAGCTGTTAAACTCCCTACTTTCAGTAATCCAACCACAACTAATGTGCCAAAACTCACTACACAGGAATCCCTTTCTGCTGTTGGTGCTACATCCTTGCTCGGTGGTAAAATATGACAGTCAGGAAGTCTCCCAACAAAGCTGCCATTGACAGGCTTTCAATATTGATTTGGCTGTAAAAGCTGTTACAGATTTTTACCACCTTATGTGACCCCTTGAGAGTATCTGCTTTTGACTTCTGTTCATTTTCCCAGTACATGCACGACCCCTGGTTTCGTAATTAAACATACTCATCTTTGGCCGACTGAGACCGAATTAAGCAATCTGCAGACAGACTTTAAGGTCACACATGTCTGTGTGACACACTGTAGCCAGACTGTAAATGATCAACCTGATGATAAGAGACGCGAGTAGAACCAGCTACTCGTGTGTGGCTGTGACTCAGTTTTGAGTTTTATTTTTTTTGACTTGTGTTCCAATTTAATTTTCCTAAAACTGTAATTTGATTTAAAAGACAAAGAAGTCCGTCTCATTATGAAAATGTCAAGGTCTAATGCATTTCGTGTCCCGTTCAGGGGACTTTTAATGCCAGTTGTTTTGTCTAAATGGTGCGCTCTTGACTTCTGAGCACTTTTCTATCAACACTGATGTGTAACGTAGAATTTGCTACAGTCCTCTGACTACGACAGAATCAACGTAGCTCGTAAATGCAAATTTCTATTCCCACATTTCTAGATTTTCTTAACTTCTAGTACTCTGATTACTTCTGTTTTAATTCTTGAAAACAGAGCACCTTCTCAGGAAATGAGCAATTTTTTAATCTTTTTTTTTTTAATCAGATGATCTATTTTGTAAAATGATATTTCTGTCAAATCACTGTAATAAAGAAGAAAGATATTACACTGAAAGGGATCTGTGTGTTTTATGAAAATCATATCAGCGTCAACATCAAACAAATCAATTACAAAAATGCATTGTCAGCGCAGGATGATGTTGCGTTTTGTACATGAGTGTGTGTTTGTGTCACTGTGAGTGTGTGAGGCTTGTGAGGGCTCGCAGTTGAAGCGGCAATGCCACATTAGTGTCTCTGTGCCACTGCGGTGCGATGACATGGGGAGGTGGTGTCAGGACACTCTGAGCTACGCCGGGGGCCTTCAGCAGCGACCACAACTCCTCCCCTCGTGTTACTATAGCTATGAGGTCCTCCTCATCAGAGCACCAGGCAACCGATCCGCTTCTGGTTACAGTCCTTAGTTTAGAGAGGAACAGAGACACCCTAAAAAGAAAAACAAAACACACACAAATGATATCAGAACATTACAAAGTCCTGGATGAAGAAAAGAAAATATTGCATCTTTAAAAAGAGTCTGTTACCGAGGTATGAGGTCATGTGACCGTGACGCCAGCTTAGCGAGAGCGCTCATTAAAGTGTTGATGACTTTAGGGGCCGGGCAAACCGTTCCAGTTGGAGGGGCAGACGAAGTGATCTCAAACAGCACCGCCTCCAGTGCTTCAAAACAGGAAGTGATGAGGCTCACGGAACAGCGAGAGTCACATGACACAGAGAGGTACTCTCCCAGCACCCACACCTGAGAGACAAACAAGCTCAGTGCTGTTTCCGCATCAGGTTTTGAGCAAATGCTGAAATGTGAGAAGCACTGGGTTTTTGCACATAACCCAAGATACACAGAAGAGTCAGCACTCTCTTTACCACATGTGTATAGAGTTCCTCTTTGCTGTAGACGTTGGCTGTGCTTCCAGCAAACTCCAGCAGCTCGTGGGACTGGTTCACGACCAGAGAGGGGTGGAGCTTACATAGCCTCAACAGGTGGCAGCTGAACACCCTGCAGAAACAGTGAGAAGTGGTTGGAGCGAGTGAGTGAGGAGATGAAGATGAGAGTGAGGCAGGCAGCAGCGCTTTGGTGTTTCGGTGTACCGGTGTATCTCTTTGATGTACGCAGGGATGTTAAGGAGCAGGCTGCTTCTCTCCAGCATCACCAGAATCAAATGAGCCAAAAGCTTCTCGTCAGCGATCTGAAAGAGACGCGCGACATATTTTTTTAATAAGGTGCATATTATAAACTGCAACACAGCAAGTACAGACGCAACGAATTTGTAAAGAATGTCGAATCTTTTCACCGTAACAATTGTGTTGAAGAAAACGTGCAACAACACGGGGACCGTCCGAGCACACTGAGTGACTCTCGGCCAGTCAGCAGCTTCAACCAGCAGCTCGTGGAGCGTGCTCAGTCGGTCAATTGTGTCACCTAAACAGGGAGATACAAAATTACAATGATTTCATTGGCTAGAGCATAATTTAAGAAGCTACCTGCCCCTGCTGCTTAGATTTAAACAGAATTACAGAAGAAACAAAAAGCAAATATACTGTGTGTGCAGTGAAGAGAAGACAGGAAAGCAGGGAGGAGCCTTGGGTCAGAGCAGACCTGGAACAGTTTGGCCTTTTACTCTTATTTGATTTCCTTCTGTTCTGTGACTTGTCCTACCTGAGCCTGCCTCCGTTCGGAGCACGAAGAGGAAAAGCCCTCTGAAAGAAGGGTTTCGAAATGCATCCAGTGACACGAAGCTGCGACCGACTGGCTCAGAGATGGGCAAACATGTGGACCTGTGACACATGAGACCCAGTGAGACAGGGATAAAAACTGTGCATGTAACCAAATCCCTGTGGGAAGCAGTTTTTCTCCTGCGTGTGCCTGAACCTGTGCTGCAGGACCAGCGTGGCAGAGAGACAGGGCAGGTCAAGCAGGGTGTGAAGCAGCTCCACCGCAGTTCCAGTTGTAACCATAGAGGGCAGCAGATCCACAAAGTCGTCCACCATCGCTGGACTGTCCCATGCTAAAAACTACACAGAAAGAGAAAACATGTAAGGAATAAAACGCACATCCACAATCTAACAATTGTTGCACATGTTTTCTCAGCTTTTCACCTTCAACAGATTTGGAAAGTAGCGCGTGTACTGTGGAACCCGAAGCTCTATGCTTTCCACGTTAAGTCGAAGGAAGCGTAGAAGCTCGTGTGCCAGGAATGGGTCATTGAAAAGCTCCGTAGGAAACCGACCAAACACCACCTTCCACACGTTCTCACAGTCCACTGCAGCCATCTCGCCTGATCGGATACAAATAAACATGTTCAACCTTGCACGCACAGAAAAAGGGGTCATGTATGATGTCATCGTGTGAGCAACCAATTTACAGTGAACACACGTGACCCTGTTTTCCGTTCTAAACTTGTGGCAGCTGCGAGCACATGTTGCTGTGTATGCGCACCGTGGTTGAGGTAGAACTGTGCTATGGGCAGCAGGACTCTGGCATTCGACAGCTCTGAGCTGAGGCGACCAAAGAGAGCCTTTATGCAGGGGAAGGTCCTGTAGACCAGCGAGGCGTCCTCAACACACACGCAGTCCAGGATGCACACGGCCTCCACCAGACACTGAAACAGGAAACAGGACACAAGGGCAGCAGAATAAATCTTGATAACACTGCAGAACTTTCTTTTGGTTAACACCAGTGGTTTCTCTAATGCAGGGGTGTCAAACATAAGGCCCTAGGGTTAGAATCGGCCTGCCGAGGAATCCAATCCAGCCCACTAGGAAATGTGAAGGAGGGCTTAGTTTTTACACGCTAACTACATTTTCGTAGCTTTTACAGCTTTTCCAACCGATAAAAACCTCAGTCATGGCCAATCATACTGCACTAAAAAAACAAAGTAATAGATAAACATCTTAATAACAGAAGAGTTCCTCTTTTTTATTATCTACAACAGAAATGTCTTTTTTTTATAGTGGGTCTGGAGTTTAAAAAAAGATTCTCTGTACACGTCTATTCCTTACAATTTAATCATGCTGACAGGTTTCCTCCACTTACTGCAGCTGCATTTCTCAATTGTGTCAAAAATCAGAGATGCACTGTTGAAACTGCACTTCTTTTCTCTTATACGAAGCTATCTGATGGACTCGGTGCAGTTAAACAACACAGGAAGGGGAGTTTTCTGTGGTCTGGCCCCTTTCAGGTCAGAGTGGGCTGTGACGTCAAGGGGTGATGTCACCGCCCAGACTTGATGTCTGGTTCAGCAACATTTATCCCCAAATGAAGAATGACTGAGCACTTTATGCACTCAACAGCTGTAAACAACCTCCAGAGGGATACATTCCACCTTCCCTTTGAGTCACTAATTCACATAGTTTGGCTCTTTTTTGTTTTGACATGTTTCTATTTATTTACATTATACTGCAAGTCATTCCCAAACTGTGTTACATATCCACAGAACTCAGAAAAACAAGTCAAACTGTGAGCTTGTATCAGCAAACAGCAGTGCATCTTACAACACCATTGTGTGGAAGTGTAACGCAAAGAATGTAAAATGTAATTAGGGGGTTAGGGGCAGAAAAGGACAGTGTAGATCAGCAACTGAGCCAGACTAAGCCAAGCATCCTATCTAGGTCTCCTTCTTTAAGCCTGACTTCTTAAACAGAACACCAGGAGGCGCTCTTTACTACAACACAGTGAACAGGAAAAGCTACAGTTATCTACATCAACACTGTGGCTCTTAGTTTAAGTATTAAAGGAAGTCAGGCTAAAAGTGTCTAAAAGTGATTTAAACCCCTCAGTTTTACAAACTGCACCATGAAATGTGTTTCCATAGTGATAATAAGTGATCTGCAGACTCACCGCTTTTTGCAGTTCTGTATCGGTCTTCTTGTGTGCCTCTGATGGAAAGAGAACAAATAAAGATCCGTGCATGAGGAATTCTGCTACGCGTCTCACTTTTCTCTCACCCGGTGCAATTTAATGCGCACACACTCACTGCGGTCGCTCTGTTCGATGAGGCGCTGGCAGTACTGGAAAGCCTTCTCTCTGAGACGCTCCTTTGGAGGCAGCAGTCGGCTGGAGGAGGACGTCGCCGAAACCATAGAAACTACGGACCCGTCCACCTCCGATCGGTCATCTGTGACAACGTGTAACGGCTCGGGAATTAGAGGTCGTGACCTTCTCGGTATAATGATTCGTGATTAAGGTCTATATCCGATTGCTCCGAACACATCAGGAGTCGGAGTTAAATTGTGTTTCTGATGATGTTAAGTAGAATCACTACAGGTTAGTAAAATGCCTCATGCCTCGACTGAAACCTACTGTTGCAGTCTCTAATTTCACCTCTTAGAACACACAGAAATGAAAGAAATCAACACAAATGTGCTCATATTTTTGTGATGTTAATCAAAGCTTAGTTACAGTATTCTTAAAGTGTACCATGCAAGGGATCAATTAGACCACATTAGCTAGTAATAACTTTGATATACACTTTCATTTTAGGAACCTTGTTTTCTTTGCTCATATTTCAGACTCCAGTACTGTGAAGCAGGATTTGAGGCTCTGTAAGCTAACATCAAGTTTAACCCTTGGATTTCAATATCATGAAGGGCGTTCCCATCTTACTGGGATTCACCATCATAGCACCCACAGCACAACCTGCTCCAGGACAGATCCACATGACTACCAAAATACCACCTATTGACCCTGCTGCACAGACAGTGACAGGATCTCCCTTTTAGAGACCGTCTAAATCCCGACAAGCATCAATAAGAGACACAAATTCTCAACAGAGGGAGCATTACTCCAGTCCAGGTTTGAAAGAAAAGGGGACACTGGACTTTCACTGTTTTAGCCATAACAGATCAGCTCCCTGATAGCAACACCCTGAACCGCTGTTACATGCAGGACGGATTCATGCTTCTGTGCTGTTTACACCAAATTCTGACCATCTGAATGTTGCTGCAGAAACTGAGATGTAACCGGGCAATGTTTTCCCGATCATCTTTTGTCCGATTTT